AAAATGGCGAAAATTTTACTGGCGCTGATTGCCGTGTGCTTTGTTCCCGCCATTTCCGGCTCTCGATTCGTGGGCGAACCGTACATTGTGAAGGGCTCCGTCTACTGCGACACCTGCCGCTGCGGATATGAGACCGACGCCTCTAAGTATATGGCCGGTAATTTACTCTCTCTCTCTCTCTCGGTATTTCGCACAAATGGATAGATGTTGTTTAATGGCTGGCTAGTGCCGAATTTTCGTGTTAGCTTACTTTTCAGATCTACGGTTTATTTGTCTGATTTTTTTCGCCATTTTGGTCGGTTTTATTTGTGAAACCTGTGTAGCAATTATTTATACAACTCAAATTATTGTATGAGTTGGTCTAATTGTTATTCAGGTCCATTCCCATTCGTCGCAATGTTTTAAACAAACATAATCCTTATAATATGAAGATCAACAGCATTAATGTTTAGACAATTTGAGCCATTTTGGGTTTAGTTTACAAGCTCAAATTCTTGTGAGAGCCAATTAACACAAGTCTTACGGTTGGTTGAATCAATTGGGCCGGTGATTTGATGATGTTTACAACAGGAGCTACGGTTAGAATCGAGTGCCGGAACAGTGACACGGCCCAAGTGACTTACCAGAGCCAAGAGGCAATAACCGACTCGAAAGGCAGCTACACGATCAAGGTCTATGGGAATCGTGGGGACGATTATTGTGATGCGGTTCTGGTTAAAAGCTCCGACCCGCTTTGCAGCACGCCCAATATGGGCCGTGATCGGGCCCGCGTGATCCTCACGGATAACAATGGCATGACCTCATACGTTCGACAGGCCAATAACATGGGCTTCCTTGCAGCTACCCCGCTTGCCAACTGTGGCAAGATCCTCATGAAGTACCAAGAAGCCGACGTTTGAAAGGAGTCGTCTGTTTTTTGGGGGGGTTTAATTTGGAGATTGTTGTCAAGATTAGTTGAAACAGAATCCTTGTTGTGTGGCGTTTTGTTATCTTTCTTTCTGAAATTACCACTTCATGTTTTTTGGTTGGTTAGAAACAGAACCTCTCTGTTAGTTGGTTAAAGGATGTTCTTTGGTGTGAAGATCTTGGACTTTTAACAATGGCCTAATTGTTGGAAAAAGCTTCATGTTGTGTACAACTGAACTATTCTCAAAATGAGTTTTTTATTAATAATAGTTAATTTTGAAAAAAATTGTAAGGTTAGTTGTTAGTGGAACTTTGATTTTATATTAAAATAATATTTAAAATAAAATAATTAAAGTTAATTTGATGTAACAGTAAGAGAAATATGGTGTGAAGTGATGGTTATTGATTTGTTAATATTATATGAGTGGATGAATAGAAAATTAATGTTGATATAATTTGTAAGAATGATCGGTTATTTAATTATATTGATAATATTGGATATAATGAAGTTGGATTAAAGTGAAATTATAATTTTAAGTATAAATTGAGTATGGTTTGAGTTTTTTCGTATACAAACACACCCTTAAGATTCGCTTCCATTATTCAATCACTATGGGTGTGTTTGTAAAAGAAATAATTTAAGTGAATTAACTCAAATTGAGTTTTTTTAGTTAATTATGGTTAATTTAGAAAAAGTAGTATAGTTAGTTGTTAGTGGGATTTTGAGTTTATATTAAAATAATATTTAAAATAAAATAATTAAAATTGATTTGATGTAAAAGAAAGAGAGAGATGATATGAAGTGATGACTAGTTGAAATTATGTGAGTGGATGAATAGTGAATTAATGTCGATATGATGTATAAAAATGATTGGTGATAATTATTTAATCACTGATTGTTATTATTTAATTATATTGATAATATTGAGGATAGTGGAGTTGAGTTAGTTTTAAGTATGAATTAATTTGGATTGAGTAAATCCTTTTACAAACATAACCTACAACTTTGGACAGTATAATAATTAATTACCCATCTCACATGTTTTATATGATTATGAGAATTTTTATCCGAGTAATTGATCTCAAGAATGTATTAGAGTTTCCATTTGTTAATACTTAATACATGAGTATCATACTCCCTTTGTCCCATAATGCTTGTTAAAGGTGTTGTTCGAGCCAAGCACTTTGTGTTCGGTTTGTTAATAAACGAGTCCAAGGCTAAACTAGAGTTTAGCTCATCTAAGCTTGTCGTAGCTATGTCCGGATTGATTTGGTTCAATTTGTTTAACAAACCTAAAATTGGGAACGAGCTTTTTGCATAACAAGTTGTATGCATTCGCGAACAGGCTTGGCTCGATGTTCATTCAAAATCTACCCAAAAAAAAAAAGAAAAATAAACAAACTATTTGCGAATGAGCTCAATTAGTTGTTTTACTCATTTAATAAACAAGTTTAATTATTTGTTCGCGCTTGACTTGTTTAAGTAAATAAATAAGCTAAATCAAATTGTGTTTGCGAATAAATCGGTTTAAATAAAAGATCTAAATTTGCATTTATTTATAGAGCTTTTTTTTTCTATTTTTTTTTTTTAAGGTCTAAGGGCAGTATCACAGTCGGACCGGACCATTCAACTTTAAATTACAAAGCCCATGGAGGTCAGCCCATATCTCTTCCCAGATGATAGGCCCAATTCTCAAAACAGCAATCCTACAAACACCACCGAAAACGACGTCGCCGCCTTCGTCACCAACCTCCGGAAGGCCGCTGGACCACCTTTCTGCCGATCCTTTGAATTTTCAACATCAAACTCCAACTATTTACAGGTAGCCATTTTATGAGCCTTTATAGCTTTCTTACTTTTCTTTCTCTTCGATTCGAAGCTTTTTCTACTCCTGTGAACTCATGAATGATCTGGGAATAGCAACTCGATGTGGCTAGAATGTTTCGATCTGTTTTGTTCATTGATGTTTTTCTTGATTTGTCAGATAAATTGGTTGTGAATATGATGAACATAAATTCACATGGTATATATGTTTGTCTGTTTATACTTTTCAGCTGCTCTCTTATCTGTATTTGCATGAATTGATAGAGTGTGTAATGTGCGTTCCTCTTTGATATATTAGCCATGGATCTCTTGATCAGAAAGCTTGAATGTAGTCTTTTTCCGTGATCTGCCTTTGTTTGTGTTATTATCCTTTGGTTCATTCATTATGGTTGTATCTTTGTTTCAAATTAATCTTCTTGTCTTGTAGGGAATAGGGCCATCCTAGATTCTCGAGAGTCCGTTTTATGGCTCTTTATCGAGCTCTTAGCTCCACTTGTGTGGTCCGGGGCAAAGAAGATCGTTATTCTCAGGAGAAAATCCGAGAATTATCTATCGGGTCACTTTCTGTTAATCTTAGAGGCAGTCATATTGTCTGTATAGGAAAATGTAAAAGCTTTAGACTTCGTAAATCGCACGTAGTTCTTTCGACAAAGCCTTCTGGAGGTTTGTCATCATCCCAAAGTAATGGTCACGATTCTCAAACGGCAGCAAGTGGGTAAATTCAAGTTTCTGAATTTCTCTTTATGTTATGATGTGTGATGCGTAAACCATATTATTAATTTTTTAGTTGATATTTTTGAATTTATAGATGAGTCTGTGTTGATTTTGTTGCGGCATGGAGAATCAATGTGGAACGAGAAGAACCTCTTCACCGGGTGTGTGGATGTGCCGTTGACTGCAAAAGGAGTAGTGGAAGCCATTGAAGCTGGGAAAAGAATAAGCAAATTCCCGTTGGATATTATCTACACGTCGGCTTTGATCCGTGCTCAGATGACGACTATGCTTGCTTTGACACAACATTGTTGCATGAAGGTTTGTTTGTTTGTCTGTTTTTCTCAATTTTTTGGAATATTTCATACCCTATGGATTTTCTTGATTGTTGACTTGCAAAAAAAAAAAGACATTGTAATTGTTAAAGTGCCTGAGTTTTAGTTCATATTGGGTTAAAGGGAAGAAAGATAATATCTTATCGGTGTCCTGTTGGTTTATTTGTTCTGAACCATCTGTGAAGGTTTTTAAATTGTATGTGTGGAAAATTTTATAACTACTGTAGTAATAGATAATTTGAGGCATTATATGTTGCTNCTTATAGTCCTCCACCTTATATATACATTTCTCGTGCCTTGCTACATTGAACTATGTTTTTTTTTTCATAGGTATGGGGAGCTTCAAGGTCTTAATAAGCAGGAAACTGCTGAAAAATACGGGAAGGAGAAAGTTCATAACTGGCGTAGAAGTTATCACGTTCGCCCTCCGAATGGGGAGAGCTTGGAGATGTGCTTAGGAAGGGCAGTTACATTCTTTAAAGAGCAGGTAAGCAATATTTTTCTTTTCTTTTCTTTTTTTAAGTAATTTAAGGGTGTAAAATAATAAAATATATATATAATCCTGAGGCTCACCGCTGGAGAAATTATGTGGGTTAATTTAGGGAATATTCTTGAGGATCATTTTGATTTTAAAAATGAAAAAAATAAAAAATAAAAAGCAATCCCTAAGATTAACTCCTTGGATGATCTCACAGATTGAGCCGCAGCTATTGAAGGGCAAGCATGTGATGGTTGTTGCTCATGCAAATTCACTGAGGTCGATTATAATGTATCTTGATAAATTGACTTCTCAAGAGGTGACAAGAACTTATTGATTTCTTTTTTTACTGCCCTTACTAGCTTCCGAACACTCTTCATTGTGGATAATGAATCAAATTCCCATTGATTTTTATCGACAGGTTATTAATTTGGAGTTATCTACTGGGGTTCCCATGCTCTACATATATAAAGAAGGAAACTTCATTAGGAGAGGAAGTCCCCCTGGATATTCCGAAGCTGGCGTTTATGCTTATACCCAGGTACTTGGCATTCGAAATTTCTCGTATTAATATTTATCAAGTGAAGTGTATCCCATAATATGTAACCATATTACTTGGAATAATTACAAGAAAGGAAAGATTAAGAAAAAAAAAAAGGATAATAAGAACAACTACATACTTCATGATAGTTTGTATGTAACTTCTAAAGGTTGAATTTGTGATTATCCATCTTTTCCTTTGTGTTATTAGTTTCAATTGAGACACTCCAACATAGAAGGTTTTTTACTGCATATTGTTAAGCATTATTGTTGATTTTGTCTTGAAAAATATTGGAGTTCCATTGGAATCACAGTAGTAACTTTAGATTAGTTGAAAAGTTTGGATTTTCACTTCAACAATAGTTTCCCCATTGTTTGACTGAATATTTGCTTTCGCCTATTTTGTTGCTGATTGAGAAGATACATGGAATGGTATTTAGTATTAGTACCAAATCAAGAAACAATAACCAAGAATTCCATTTTTCCAAGTCTTACGCATATATTGCAATGGATGTGTAATGGGTATAAAGCTTGTGTAAACTTGATTACTGGTGAAATTAAGTATCAACAAGAAACTCAAAAGAAAATAAAAAGTGGAATCTTGTACCTATTTATGTGAAACTAATAGAACCGGCTCTGATACCATGACAGAAACTACAACTCACAAGTGATATTCTAACACACACGCGGATATTCTAATCACACGGTCCTAGAACCGGCTCTGATACCATGACAGAAACTACAACTCACAAGTGATATTCTAACACACACGCGGATATTCTCATCACACGGTCCAAAATAGAACACGGTCCAAAATAGAATACGGTTGGTTCAAATGAGAACCAAGTCTTAGTGTGAGAACCGTGAGAACCGCTATTTTTATTTGGCGTAGTGCTTTGATTGATTTTGTTTGATGCTATTTTTAACTAGGATGAATTTTGTTAAAAATAGCAACACAATTTTTGGTAGCACTTGTAAAAATGATAGCATCATCTAATATGAAAAATAGTATCATACACAATTAAAAAGAGCATAAAAAACGGTTCTCACACCAGGACTAGTTTTTATTTGAACCAGCCCCTATATATATATATATATATGTAACTGTTCCACGTGAACCAGCGCGATAGAGTTTCTCAGTTAATTTAATCAAGTGAAACAGAGGCAGCTCTTGTATGTGCCAACTTGGATTGCTGGCTGGTTCATATTCAACTATGCTTTTTTTTTTGCCCTTCGCTTTAAAGTGATGAATTTGAAGAGAACTCTTGTTTAAGAGATGGGTGACATGGACTTTCAGTGAAAGACGGATATCATTGCTTCTTGCATATCTGCAAAAGCACCAAAACGTTAAAATCTTGCAGAAATTGTTACTTTCTTTACTTTTCTGTATTAAGGTTTCTTTTGCCATGTGATCAAATTATCTTAGGAGGCTAAGTTACTTCTGTTTTCTGCAGAGCTTAGCCGATTATAGGCAAGAATTAGATGAAACAGTGAGCGATGCCTGAAGTTACAATATACCTGCTTCTCATATTTTACTTTTCCATATGGCTCGAAAGCCGTTTGATGTTCGACTGGGCAAATGGTCGATGTCAATACCGACAGCTTTTTGCATTATATCAGAGCAAATTTTTGGGTCTTCATATACAGCTCAATCAAGCATCACGAACATCAACTTGTTCACTACGGTGCGCCTCAATTTTTCTACGAACTCCTTCACGTGTTATAAACATTGGACAGATGTTGCTGTGATAAGAGGATTCTGGGCGTGATTTTATTTTTATTTCTTAAAATTTTTTACTTTCTTGATCAAAACAAATGTTTGTACTTTGTACTGGAGACTATTTAGAAGATACACTAGCAGTGAGAAAATGATGATTCTCAAATTATGTAATTTGGTCAAAATTTGCTCCGTGAGATTATTGAGCATGTGCAAGGGAGAGTGTGAGTCTTTTTAACCCTCTGAAAATTGTGTTTCTTGTGTATTTATTATGAGTTTACCTCCTACAATAATAATAAAAGGATTTGAATTAACATCAAATATTATGAGTTTACATTCTACAATAACAAACAGATTTGAATTAACATCAAATATTATGAGTATACATTCTACACTAACAAAAAGATTTGAATTAACAAAAAGATTTGAATTAATCTTAAATTGTCTTACTGACACCAACCAGTCAAATTTACTAACTAATCCAACCAGTCATACTAACTAATCCAACCAGCCAAGTGAGTGACCATCTATCTTTAACAACTTCAAATTTACTAACTAATCCAACCAGTCATACTAACTAATCCAACCAGCCAAGTGAGTGACCATCTATCTTTAACAACTTACTGACTCCTTTCATTTGATCTTATACCTATCATTGTTAACTTAACCAGTCAAGTGGCCATTTGAACATAATCCAACCAGTCAAGTGGCCATTTGAACATGACCATTTGAACTGTGACCATTTGATCTTATGCCTATTTTAACAACTTATGATTTCATTTGATCTTATACCTATCATTATTAACTTAACTCCAACGATATTTTTAAAATAAATATTGTATCTAACTATTTATAATAAATTGGATAGTATTGCATATCATATAATTAAATGAATCCAACCATTTTAATAATATTTATAAAGTAGTTATGCAAATATTTTGGAATAATTTATATACATAAATTAGAACATACTATAATAAATTGAATCATAACTCTAACAATATTTTTAAGGTGTATACAATACTTTTTATATAATTACTTTTGTAGGTGTTATATAAATTATACATTATATGTGCGTGTCAATGTATGTTGATTTTATAATTTTTGCTTCTTTAGTGAGTATGTTTCTTTGACATTTTACGTGTACAACTTCTTACGTTATAATTCATATTACTTTATTCAATCTTGTGCATTTGCACAAATGTAAATATAGTATTATATATTATATTTATGTACATAGTATTAAAATCATAGTTAGATAATTGTATTATACTTTAAACATAGAATATTCTAAGTTATATTTATGCATATAATATTAAATTATAAGTTAGATAATGGTATTATATTTTAAAATTTGGTAACTGACCAAAATAAATAGCATATAACTATTTGATTGCATACGAATCACTATATTAATTTCATAAAATATAATAAATAATGTAATATTTGTAATTTTGAGAGATCATGACCAATTAATTAGTTGAAAAATATTAAATTTATTATATCAATTGCTTATGCAATTGTTTACGTCCAAGCTAATATTGACCCGTAAGGTATGAATAATTATTTTTTTTAATTTTAAATAACTTTTTTCAATATATTATATACCAAATTTAAACCATGCAACTAATAAAGGTAATAGCCGCAGATTTTGTCAATATATTATATATCAAATTTAAATATTGCAACTAATAAAAGTAATAGCCACAATATTTGACCAAAATGATTCTGTGCATTAATTACATTAATTTAGGCGGATTTTTTTCTAATTTTAGCCGAAAAATTACTCAGTTTAGTAATCCACAAGCTAGAGCAAGTGCAAACTTAATGTCCAAACTTCAACAATCTTCAACAATTTAATCTTACAAATTCAAACTTACAAATGTAGTAAAAATAGAAATGTGGAAAGATAAAATGATATGGAAAAATTCCCTTTTCTTTTTCCTCCCCCCTTTTGTTTTATGATAATGTTGCTATTTATAGATATAAATAGCATACTAACATCAACTAACATCAACCAAAGTTCAACAATAATTCAACCACCAAGAAAAATGCAAGAAAAGGTCAAAGAAGATAGGAAAAATGAGAGAAAGGTTGGAATTTTCGGACAAAATCCGAGAATGAATTTTTCCGCGCGCATTCGCGCACGTCTCGGGCAGCTCTGCTTCTCG